CCCCCGTCCCCTGCTCTCCACTACCCCCGTTGTGCCCCGCCCGACTCTGCTTTGACGTTTGACAGCAGCGCTGAGGGCGGGGGCGGCGGTCGGCAGCGCAACAGCGCCGGCACAGGCAGGGACCGCTGCCCCGCACCTGGACCGTGTGCGTGGCGACGCGTGGCGCGCGTGCCTGCCTCGCTGACGACGCACTCTGCCTCGGCCGACAATTTGCATCCATAACTCGGCTTGCCGAGGGGAGCGGCGGCACACGAGGCGCGAGGCGCGAGGCGCGAGGCGCGCAAGACACAGCACGACGCGCTGCAATTAACTCTGACGCCGCGGCGCTGCGCTGCGCTGTGCTGCGCTGCGCTGTGCTGTGCTGCGCTGTGCTGTGCTGCGCTGTGCGGCGCTGTGCACACGGCCGGCGCTGCTGCTCGACTTGCCTTCCTACCTCTTCCTTCCCGCCATCAGGCAGTCCCGTTCGGAGTGTTGACTCTGGACGGGGTGTGTATACCCCGGTACACACCCCCTCCCTTCCTCTCCGTATGGCGGTGGTGCGCGTTCCGGTTCACGTCGCTCCTTGGTCACATCCATCCGACGCGCACACCGCGAATCTGTTACACAAGTCCGCGAGAAATTTATTTACTTTTAATTAACAGCGTTTGTACAACGTTTCCGCGCTCCCGGCCATTTTTTTTTTCATATTTTCGTGCCTTTGCCCTGCTGCCTCTTTTGCCGTTTCTCCTCGGCGGCGCACAGTGTTCAGCGCTGGCCTCCCTTTCCCGCCTCCACAAACAAATCCCGCTAAAAAGTTGACGCGAAAAAAGGCTTGCAGAAAACACGAACAACCACGGATTTCCTCTGGCGGCACGGCCCTCAACAAGCGCGGACACCTGCCTAAAAATATTCGATGCGAGCACCAAAAGGCTGTCACAAAAACGCTACAAAACATCAACATGAAACGAAAGCAAATGAATTGCGGGGACTTTAATGCCAATAATTTTTCTTTTTGCATCGTTGATTTTTTATTCCGCCGTGGAGGCATTAGAGAAGTGAAGGGATAGGGTACTTGCGCCAGTGAGTGGTCTGCGCACCGAATGCCCTCATGTTCGGTCGCTAGTCGTCTAGGCGAACTGTCCCCCTGTGGAAGCTCGCTTAAAATTCAAGGAGAGGGTGCAGGGCAAGGGCATGAGAGTCCATGCCAGAGGGCTTGGAGCCACACACTCTCTCTCACTCTCACTGGCGGCCAAGCGTCAAGAATCCAGCCCAGCATGGCCCAACCTCAAAGGGAAAGAATGTGTCCCAGACCAGACGAGAGTAAGGGCAGGGGGTTGGGCATGGAGGGGCAGCCAGGCTTGTCCCGGTTGTCCCCTGTTACCGCTAGTGGGCCCCGCCGCGGTCCTGCCGGGCCGGGTCCTGCTCCAGTCAGGGGCGCTGTGCGGACCAGACGGACAACACAATCTGCCCAGCACACCGCCCCGGCCTCGGCCCCGCCCGGCCCCTACTCTGTCACAACTCGCCTCCACAATGGGAAACCTGCCGCCTCCTCCCATCACCAAATATAAACATGCGTATCTCGTCTGCTGCTCTGCTTCGAGAGGGGGTGATGGGAGGCAGAGGGTGTGAGGACCTCCTTTGAGGCCCTGAGAGAGAGGAGGGGGGAGAGGGAGAGGGAGAGGGAGAGGGAGAGAGAGAGAGAGAGAGAGGAGGGGGGAGGAGAAGGCACAACATCTCAGAGCGCCTCCACCGCGCTCCCTGGGCTGCACGATTGATCTGCTTGCGGGGCGACGGTGCGGTGTGTCGGCAGAGTGATACCGTGAGTGTGCTAGAGAGAGAGAGAGGGAGGAGGGAGAAAGAGGTGCAGAGAGAGGGAGAGAGAGGGGGAGTGGAGGCCATCAGAGGGAAAGGAAACAGGTTTCGTCCAGAGGGGATGTGGCGGCTCGGCTCGATATTGTTGTTGATACGACACGACGAAATGATTGGAGGTGATGAATATGTAGATGAGGCGGGGCGGGGTCCCGGTCCACCCGACCGGCGACGCGTGCGGCCCGCTGAGAGTGTTTGTGTGTGTATGTGTGTGTGTGGGGGAGGGGGGGAGGGGAAGGGGTTGGCGTACGTGTCTGTTGTGTGTTGTTTGACTGTTGTTTCAAATTTCCTCGCACGACGACGGCCATCACACGCACACACACGCGCGCACGCAGAGACTCGCCAAGGGCCCTACTACCCTCCCCTTTCCTCTCCAAAGCACTGCTGGCCGGAAGACCGACAGTCCAGCCTACAACTTTTGACACAGCGCCAGAAGAGACCCTCTCTCTCCACGCCACCGTGCTCCCCGCGCTAGGCCTATTGACGACAAGCCTTCCAGAGGACCAAGCCTCGTGGAGAGAAACAGAAAGGGAGTGCTCTGTGGGGTGTGAGTGTGTGAGAGAGTGGAAGTGAGAGTGAGAGAGAGAGAGTGAGAGAGAAAGAGAGAGAGAAAGAGGGGAGGGAAGAAAGGCAAAGGCAAGGACGATGCCCACTTAAAAGAGGCCCGCTCTTAAAAATAATTATGTAACTGGCACACGCACAAACAACCCTTCTCCTTCTCCCATTGCCGCGGCCGGCCCAGCCCAGCCACCCCAGGGAGAGGACCTACCTTAATGACAGGTGAGAGTAGCAGCTCCCCCGCAGCCCCTGCACACGCGCTGCCCCTGGGGAGCACCCCCCA